GAGCAAATGGCAAGCCCTAACCCATGACTAGTTATATAGAGCAAATGGCAAGCAACCCCCCCCCCCACACCCTCCTCCAAGCCACCACCGGTTGATATAACTTAAGTGATGAGTGTACCCCCCCCCCCACCTTTCCCCGTCTGAGTAGTGTCTAAAAATAACTGCGCGTGAGAACAAGGCGTGAGTAAGACTTACCTGGGCGATCGAGCACGGGGCAGGGCATACTTACCTGTGCCTTCTCCTGCCTCACCGAGCAGGCAATGTGTTCGCTAGGAGCCTGTGGGTTGGAGATTTTTTTTTTATCTTGTCTCTGAAATATTAGGAAGAATTAGGTCTATAAATAGACACGCAGCACGTGTTTTTAATGTGTACACGAATCACAACATGTGTATGGGTCACGTGGTTTCACTTAGAATCTTTAAAAAAATAAGTGTTTTGTGTCGTATCTTTTCAGGGGTCGGAAGATGGGTTTTGTTTTGGGTTATTTTTAGAAGCGGGTCGATTAAAAAGTGGGTGAGTTAGGGTTAGGAGTTGGAGTAGGCCATATTAGTTCAAAGATTAGGTTGAGATTAGCGTGTAGGAATGGGTTAAATGAGTGCGGGGGTTGGATTGGATTAGCGCTGAGATTAGGTGGTGTCAGGTCTAGGGATTGATTTGATTACATGATGGATATCTATCTGGTAGTGGTCGAATTAACGTGGAAATTAGCTTTTTAACTTAATTTAGATCACATATAATTAACGGGATGTTTTTTTTTTAATATTTTTAATGGTTTGTATAGGAGTTGTTCGTAAATTTATTTTCAAATGGGATAAGTATACTTAGTAGTGTGCAATGGCCGTGCATCAACAAGGCGATTTTTATCTTTTCGTGAAGAATTTTCATTCCAAAATATTGGTGGGAGTGGTGGTAGGCGAGATGGCTGGTAGGGGAGATGGCTGGTAGGCGAGATGGCTGGTAGGGGAGATGGCTGGTAGGGGAGATGGCTGGTAGGGGAGATGGCTGGTAGGGGAGATGGCTGGTAGGGGAGATGGGTGAAAGCGGAGAATGGTGGTAGGGGAGTCAGGGGTGATGGGTGGCAGTTGAGATGGGTGGCAGGGGTGATGGGTGGCAGTTGAGTCAGGGGAGATGGGTGGCAGGGGAGTCAGGGGAGATGGGTGGCATGGGAGATGGGTGGCATGGGAGATGGGTGGCAGGGGAGATGGGTGGCATGGGAGATGGGTGGCAGTTGAGTCAGGGGAGATGGGTGGCAAGGGAGATGTGTGGTAGGGGAGTTGGGTGGCATGGGTGATGGGTGGCAGGTGAGATGTGTGGTAGGGGAGATGGGTGGCAGGGGAGATGGGTGGCATGGGAGATGGGTGGCATGGGAGATGGGTGGCAGGGGAGATGTGTGGTAGGGGAGATGGGTGGCAGTTGAGTCAGGGGAGATGGGTGGCAGGGGAGATGGGTGGCAGGTGAGATGTGTGGCAGGGGAGATGGGTGGCAGGGGTGATGGGTGGCAGTTGAGTCAGGGGAGATGGGTGGCAGGGGAGTCAGGGGAGATGGGTGGCATGGGAGATGGGTGGCAGGGGTGATGGGTGGCAGTTGAGTCAGGGGAGATGGGTGGCAGGGGAGTCAGGGGAGATGGGTGGCATGGGAGATGGGTGGCATGGGAGATGGGTGGCAGGGGAGATGGGTGGCAGGGGAGATGGGTGGCATGGGAGATGGGTGGCAGTTGAGTCAGGGGAGATGGGTGGCAAGGGAGATGTGTGGTAGGGGAGTTGGGTGGCATGGGTGATGGGTGGCAGGTGAGATGTGTGGTAGGGGAGATGGGTGGCAGGGGAGATGGGTGGCATGGGAGATGGGTGGCATGGGAGATGGGTGGCAGGGGAGATGTGTGGTAGGGGAGATGGGTGGCAGTTGAGTCAGGGGAGATGGGTGGCAGGGGAGATGGGTGGCATGGGAGATGGGTGGCAGGGGAGATGGGTGGCATGGGAGATGGGTGGCAGTTGAGTCAGGGGAGATGGGTGGCAGTTGAGTCAGGGGAGATGGGTGGCAGGGGAGATGGGTGGCATGGGAGATGGGTGGCATGGGAGATGGGTGGCAGGGGAGATGTGTGGTAGGGGAGATGGGTGGCAGGGGAGATGGGTGGCAGGGGAGATGGGTGGCATGGGAGATGGGTGGCAGTTGAGTCAGGGGAGATGGGTGGCAGGGGAGATGGGTGGCAGGTGAGATGTGTGGCAGGGGAGATGGGTGGCATGGGAGATGGGTGGCAGTTGAGTCAGGGGAGATGGGTGGCAGGGGAGATGGGTGGCAGGGGAGATGGGTGGCAGGGGAGATGGGTGGCATGGGAGATGGGTGGCAGGGGAGATGGGTGGCATGGGAGATGGGTGGCATGGGAGATGGGTGGCAGGGGAGATGTGTGGTAGGGGAGATGGGTGGCAGTTGAGTCAGGGGAGATGGGTGGCAGGGGAGATGGGTGGCATGGGAGATGGGTGGCATGGGAGATGGGTGGCAGCGGAGATGGGTGGTAGGGGAGATGGGTGGCAGGGGAGTCAGGGGAGATGGGTGGCAGGAGAGTCAGGGGAGATGGGTGGCAGGAGAGTCAGGGGAGATGAGTGGTATGGGGAGTCAGGGGAGATGGGTGGCAGGGGAGTCAGGGGAGATGGGTGGCATGGGAGATGGGTGGCAGGGGAGTCAGGGGAGATGGGTGGCAGGAGAGTCAGGGGAGATGGGTGACAGGGGAGTCAGGGGAGATGGGTGGTAGGGGAGATGGGTGGCAGGGGAGATGGGTGGCAGGGGGGATGGGTGGCATGGGAGATGGGTGACAGGGGAGATGTGTGGTAGGGGAGATGGGTGGCAGGGGAGTCAGGGGAGATGGGTGGCATGGGAGATGTGTGGTAGGGGAGATAGGTGGCAGGGGAGTCAGGGGAGATGGGTGGCAGGAGAGTCATGGGAGATGGGTGGCAGGAGAGTCAGGGGAGATGGGTGGCATTGGAGATGTGTGGTAGGGGAGATAGGTGGCAGGGGAGTCAGGGGAGATGGGTGGCAGGAGAGTCATGGGAGATGGGTGGCAGGAGAGTCAGGGGAGATGGGTGGCATTGGAGATGGGTGGCTGGGGGGATGGGTGGCATGGGAGATGGGTGGCAGGGGAGTCAGGGGAGATGGGTGGCAGGAGAGTCATGGGAGATGGGTGGCAGGGGAGATGGGTGGCAGGGGAGTCAGGGGAGATGGGTGGCAGGAGAGTCATGGGAGATGGGTGGCAGGAGAGTCAGGGGAGATGGGTGGCAGGGGAGATGGGTGGCATGGGAGATGGGTGGCAGGGGGGATGGGTGGTATGGGAGATGGGTGGCAGGGGAGTCAGGTGAGTTGGGTGGCAGGGGAGATGGGTGGCAGGGGAGATGGGTGGGTGGCTTGCAGTTATTGTAAATAATCACAAATTATCTATTGAAATTATATTATATCCCCAAGATCTGTATTTGTAGCATTACTTGCTTTTAAATTACTGGCTTCTGAATCGCTTTTAATCATTTGTTATACTACCTGCCCACGTGACCGGCTGTGAAGCCTTTTGTCACAATATTCAGTCTATTCAAACCGGACTCAAAAACAACAGAGTTACATCTGCCGCAAATTACATAATATTTAAGACACAAAAATCGCCAGTTTGTAATCTCGATATAAATTGGTTGCACTACTGTCATTTATCAGGAAAATAGTTTATTTTTAAATTAAAAATTCACGTAACTATCAAAATAAAAGCTGAAAAGTGAAAAAAAAGGTTATATTTCTAGCACATCGAAATTTTAACATTCTGACAACGATAATTAAAGAAGAAATTATCCACTGTTAAATAATAAATATGTTTATTAAGTTTCATTATCCGTCTAAATGTTCCAAAACTTTTTTAAAAAATGTTGTAGCACGCATGTACAAAAAGAGCCCCATTAAAATGTTTAAAATGTTTTCAACCTACGCCAGTCTATAAAAACGTCTCTATGAGCGGCAAGTCTGACTCGCTAAAACTCATTTGTCATGATTTAAAATAAATTACTTTCTGCTTTAACTAAAGAGAGGTTTAATTAGCAGTGGCCAGGGAATCGTCAACATTTAATTAGCAAATTATGGTCAAGATTAGAGTGATATTTGAACACATCTTATGTTGGTATTGCAATTCTCTTTTCTCACAGATCTAAATCTTAACTATTCTAAATATATTTGAACACATATCATGTTGGTATTGCAATCTTATCTTACAGATCTATGGGGTCGTCCATAAATGACGTCACACTCGTAGGGGGGAGGGGGTTTCCGTAATTTTGTGACGGCGTGTGATAAGGGGGAGAGGGGTTCAGATGGTGGGACGTCCCACTTTTGCATTAACAAAAAGTATTGTTGGAAAACGAATTTTAGACGTTATTTCGCGTTTTAGAAGACTGTTTTAATAAATTGTATTAGGAATTGATTAAAACACTCTATGTTGACAGAGTTCAAACAAGATTTTGGAAAAATATTGATGTTTTAAGAAACATTCAACTGCAATTTTGAGGGGGGTTGTAGGTTGAAGTCTGACGTCATTTTAAGGGGTCTGGCTTTTTGTGACAATGTGTGACGGAGAGGGGGGGGGGGGTAAAAATCGTCAAAAAAGCGTGACGTCATTTATGGATGACCCCTAAATGGAGACAAAAACAAATAATTTTTAAAATGTATTATAATTAACTTCCAAAACAGATCTAAATTAAAACTATAACAAATATTTTTTAACACATCCCATGTTTGTATTAAAATTTTATTTCTCACTGATCTAAATCAGTTCTAAATAAAGAATACAAATTCAAATATTATTAAAATAATTTCCTCATAGGCCATAGTCGAAACTAGAACTATTAAAATCCTTTCCTCATAAACACAAATCGAACCTTGAACTATTAAAATAGTTTGTTGCTAGGTTTGAATAGAAACTATAACACGTAATGTTTACATTGCCTTATGTTGCTATTAATAACCTCGTCTCTTCGCAGGTCTAAATCGAAACTGTAACAAAGTCAACCAATCAAAGTAGACAAAAAGTATCTGAAGAAAGCCACACTTGCTGAAACTTCACGGACCGGGTTACGAACCCAGCTGGGAACAAGATGCAGTGTCTTGTGGGTGAGGCTGCGCTAAGGATGGGTTGCCACTTTCAGTAGGTGAGTCGCTGGCAGTTTGGTCATTTTGTTTGGTCGTTTTGTTTTGGTTATTTTGTTTGGTCATTTTGTTTAGTCATTTTGTTTGGTCATTTTGTTTGGTCATTTTGTTTAATCATTTTGTTTGGTCATTTTGTTTGGTCATTTTGTTTGGTCATTTTGTTTGGTCATTTTGTTTAATCATTTTGTTTGGTCATTTTATTTGGTCATTTTGTTTGGTCGTTTATTTTGGTCATTTAGGTTAATTATATTGTTTGTTAATTTCGTTTGGTCATTTTATTTGGTCATTTTGTTTTGTCATTTTTTTGTTACTTCGTTTGGTCATTTGGTTGGTCATTTTGTTTGGTCGTTTTGGTTGGTCGTTTTGTTTTTTTTTTTTTGTCATTTTGGTTGGTCATTTTGTTTGGTCATTTTAGCTAGTCATTTTGTTTTGGTCACTTTTGCTTGTCGTTTTGATTGGTCGCTGTTTGGTCATTTTGTTTTGTCATTTTGGTTGGTCATTTTGTTTGGTCATTTTGTTTGGTCATTTTGTTTAATCATTTTGTTTGGTCATTTTATTTGGTCATTTTGTTTGGTCGTTTATTTTGGTCATTTAGGTTAATTATACTGTTTGTTAATTTCGTTTGGTCATTTTATTTGGTCATTTTGTTTTGTCATTTTTTTGTTACTTCGTTTGGTCATTTTGATTGGCCATTTTGTTTGGTCGTTTTGGTTGGTCAGTTATTTTTTGGTCATTTTGTTAGCCCTTGTAGCCCCTTCTTCTTCGTTGACCGAGTCATTCCGCCCCCATAAAAGTGTGGCGTTGTGTATGAACGGAAATCCCCATATTCTGTTTATTTATTCTTTACAAACGAAAATCTTGAAATTATTTCCTTGTGTATTCCCAAGAAAATCTTACGACTGTGTTCCTCTTATAGTTATGTTTATAAACATTCAGGACGAACGTATTTTGTTCCTTGAACCCCAGGAAATATAATGTTGTTCATTATAACTCCCAGGACAATCTTATAACTGTCCTCTCCCCTCCCCCTTCATCCATGCCAATCTTCTATGTTCCTTAAGATCTCCCCTCTTTCATCAGTGGCGTAGCTAGGATTTTTGTGCCCCTATGCAAAAAGTGTTAGTTGGCCCCTCAGAGGCGTAGCAACCCTTCCCGGCGACCGGGGACAACTTTCGATTTGCACCCCCCCCCCCTCAAACTTTCGGAAAAGGGCCACTATGCCTTGCTTGCGCTAGCTTTACGGTAGCTACGCCACTGTCTCCCATGATAATCTTATAACTGTGTTCCTTAACATCTCCCCCATGCCAACCCTCTAACTTTCACCTCTCATCTCCCCCCACCGCCAGGACAATCTTAGCGCCCCCAGTAGATGGACCACAGCTCCGAGTGGTCAAGCCAGCAAACCGTGCGTGGAGTTGAAGCCAAGTGTCAGCTTGATCCAAGTGTGAGGCCTGTCACCCTGCAGCACAAGTGGATCACTATGCTCGAACCTTCTCGAACCACGGACCACGATACCACCACCAGCACCTCGACCACCGCATTGACCTCGACGCCAGCACCATCCACTGCGGCAGCACCACCACCACCACCGACCGCCGCCGCAGCGCCATCCTCCGCAGAAGGACCATCAACTGCAGCAACGCTACCATCCGTTGCAGCCGAAGCATATTTTGTGGGTAGAAAGCGCGCGCTGGGTGAGGAGGGGCCAATCATCATCCTGACCCAGCACGAGGAGGATGAAGGTGAAGGACAGTCGGAGCAGCCCGACTTTGAAGCAAGATCAACCAGCAAACTCAAGAAACAAGAGCCAACCCTAATTCTTGCACCACAACCAGGTGGGTATTGTGGGGGAATGTGGGTTGTGGGTCATGTGGGTTGTGGGTCATGTGGGTTGTGGGTCATGTGGGTTGTGGGTATTGTGAGTTTTGGATCTTGCAGGTTGTGGGTCATGCGGGTTGTGGGTCGTAGGAGTTGTAGGTTATGTTGATTTTGGGTCTTGGTGGCTGTGGTTCATGTTTTACAGCCGTTTTTCTTTTATATATGAGTAGCAATAATGTTTGAAGTAAAGCAGTATTAAGTCTATGATGTTTTATGGAAAGCTGTGTATTAAGTCTATGATGTTTTAACAACAACAAATGTTAATTGTGTGTATTTTTTCACGTGTTTATTGCCCGTGGCTTGCCCATACTCGCCTGTGTCCTACCCCCGCGCTGCCCCCGTATTCCCTGTATCCTAAAGCTACACCTCCTGTACTCCCTGTATCCTAAAGCTACACTTCCTGTACTCCCTGTATCCTAAAGCTACACTTCCTGTACTCCCTGTATCCTAAAGCTACACTTCCTGTACTCCCTGTATCCTAAAGCTACACCTCCTGTATTCCCTGTATCCTAAAGCTACACCTCCTGTACTCCCTGTATCCTAAAGCTACACCTCCTGTACTCCCTGTATCATAAAGCTACACGTCCTGTATTCCCTGTATCCTAAAACTACACCTCCTGTACTCCCTGTATCCTAAAGCTACACTTCCTGTACTCCCTGTCTCCTAAAGCTACACTTCCTGTACTCCCTGTATCCTACACCTCCTGTACTCCCTGTCTCCTAAAGCTACACTTCCTGTACTCCCTGTATCCTAAAGCTACACCTCCTGTACTCCCTGTATCATAAAGCTACACGTCCTGTATTCCCTGTATCCTAAAGCTACACCTCCTGTACTCCCTGTATCCTAAAGCTACACTTCCTGTACTCCCTGTATCCTACACCTCTTGTACTCCCTGTATCCTAAAGCTACACCTCCTGTACACCCTGTATCCTAAAGCTACACCTCCTGTACTCCATGTATCCTAAAGCTACACCTCCTGTACTACCTGTATCCTAAAGCTACACCTCCTGTACTCCCTGTATCCTACACCTCCTGTACTCCCTGTATCCTAAAGCTACACCTCCTGTACTACCTGTATCCTAAAGCTACACCTCCTGTACTCCCTGTATTCTACACCACCTGTACTCCCTGTATCCTACACTTCCTGTACTCCTTGTATCCTACACCTCCTGTACTCCCTGTCTCCTAAAGCTACACTTCCTGTACTCCCTGTATCCTACACCTCCTGTACTCCCTGTATCCTAAAGCTACACCTCCTGTACTCCCTGTATCCTAAAGCTACACTTCCTGTACTCCCTGTATCCTAAAGCTACACCTCCTGTACTACCTGTATCCTAAAGCTACACCTCCTGTACTCCCTGTATCCTACACCTCCTGTACTCCCTGTATCCTAAAGCTACACCTCCTGTACTACCTGTATCCTAAAGCTACACCTCCTGTACTCCCTGTATTCTACACCTCCTGTACTCCCTGTATCCTACACTTCCTGTACTCCCTGTATCCTACACTTCCTGTACTCCTTGTATCCTACACCTCCTGTACTCCCTGTATTCTACACCTCCTGTACTCCCTGTATCCTACACTTCCTGTACTCCCTGTATCCTACACTTCCTGTACTCCCTGTATCCTACACCTCCTGTACTCCCTGTATCCTACACTTCCTGTACTCCCTGTATCCTACACCTCCTGTACTCCCTGTCTCCTAAAGCTACACTTCCTGTACTCCCTGTATCCTACACCTCCTGTACTCCCTGTATCCTACACTTCCTGTACTCCCTGTATCCTACACCTCCTGTACTCCCTGTCTCCTAAAGCTACACTTCCTGTACTCCCTGTATCCTACACCTCATGTACTCCCTGTATCCTACACCTCCTGTACTCCCTGTATCCTACACTTCCTGTACTCCCTGTATCCTACACTTCCTGTACTCCTTGTATCCTACACCTCCTGTACTCCCTGTATCCTAAAGCTACACTTCCTGTACTCCCTGTCCCCTAAAGCTACACCTCCTGTACTCCCTGTATCCTACACCTCCTTACTCCCTGTATACTACACTTCCTTACTCCCTGTCTCCTAAAGCTACACCTCCTGTACTCCCTGTATCCTACACCTCCTGTACTCCCTGTATCCTACACTTCCTGTACTCCTTGTATCCTACACCTCCTGTACTCCCTGTATCCTAAAGCTACACTTCCTGTACTCCCTGTATCCTACACCTCCTGTACTCCCTGTCTCCTAAAGCTACACCTCCTGTACTCCCTGTCTCCTAAAGCTACACTTCCTGTACTCCCTGTATCCTACACTTCCTGTACTCCCTGTATCCTACACCTCCTGTACTCCCTGTATCCTACACTTCCTGTACTCCCTGTCCCCTAAAGCTACACTTCCTGTACTCCCTGTATCCTACACTTCCTGTACTCCCTGTATCCTACACCTCCTGTACTCCCTGTATCCTACACTTCCTGTATTCCCTGTATCCTAAAGCTACACTTCCTGTACTCCCTATATCCTACACATCCTGTACTCCCTGTCTCCTACACCTCCTGTATTCCCTGTCTCCTACACCTCCTGTATTCCCTGTCCCCTAAAGCTACACCTCCTGTACTCCCTGTATCCTACACCTCCTGTACTACCTGTATCCTACACCTCCTGTACTCCCCAGATGAAGCAAGAAGCCAACTTTCGACAGGATCAACACCCAGCGATAGGGGCAGGGAGCCGGAACGCCGGGCAGGCCGGGCCGGATACCCCCCATCCGACGTCTCGCCCAAACGTGACGTCAGCCATGTCATGCAGTTCTTCCAGGAACAGGAGGAGAGCCTGCAGGCCAGTTTCCTCTCCCTGCCCAAACGAAGCCAGAAAAAACAGCGTTCGCCCAGCCCACACCACATGGCCGGTCTAGAGCACCTGGACCACCTGATCCGCCTGATGGAACAGCTGACCTCCTTGAAGGACGAGAACCTTCGGCTGCGCAAACGCTGCGAGTACCTCGAGAGCACGAAAGTACTACTTCAAGCAAAGCGAGATCTTTCCTTCGAGAGTAGCAGTTCGTCTTCGGGTTTGATAACCGCACAAACAAAGCACAAACACAAGCACTCACACCGGCACGAACAAACAACACACACGGGTCAACTCGACGCCGCCCAGCTGATGGGAGTCTCGCAGCTTCTGGAAGCTGGGGGCAGGACAAACCGGCCGAGACTCGCCAGCGCTGAGGAGCTGGAGTATCTGGAACTGATAGACACGACGTCGGACCACCGACCGAAGCACAGGTCCAGCCTGCACAAGCGTAGCTTCTCCACGGGGTCCCTGCATGTCGAGTCGGACCACCTGACTCAAGTCTCCTCCAGCGACTCAAGAAAACGTCTCAAATCGAAAACGGCGAGAAGCATCTTCAGCAAAACTTCCGCGTCGAAACAAAAATCCAAAAGTTCCAAATGGGCTCGTGTCAAGAAGGTGCTGACGGGTCAGAAATTGTACGAGGACCTGGGCACGACCATCAAGTCCATCCGGGAGATGGGCCGCCCCTCCCACGGGCGCTACTCCACCACCGACGTGCCCACCAGTCCCCGTGACACGAGCCCCAGAATAACCAACGGGGACCGTCGGCACAGTGGCGCTTCCTTCGCCAGAGGTACCCGCGGGGCCAGGGCACCCCCCGCTCAGGCCCCGCCCAGTGAGGTTAGCCGATGTTCAGACTTGGTTAGTATGCGCATGCGTACATATATTTCAATATACGGTTTTATAATTTATGGTAAGCAGTTAGTCTAATATTAACTTGCTTAGCAGTTGGACTCTTTCCACTATATTTAGCCGTTTGCCTTTGATTCCGTTTACAACATATTCCGCAGACAAGAATTTTTCTTGGATCCCATGTCTTTTTTCACTTGTTTCCACCAGTGTCTAAACGGTATTCTGCCATACTAAATAGAAACCTGCTTGTACATCATTTGTTTATCCATCAAGCACATACACCAACGTTCCACAACTAATTCTAGCGACATTTTACCGGGAATTTGGCTTTTTTTTTTTTTACGAAAAACAAATCGACATATACTACTTGCCTAACCTCAGCCACAGAAAAACACATCCGAGGAAAACTCAAAACAACACACATGGATGACAGCGTGTAAATACACAATTGGATGGGGGGGAGACAATGGTTACACACGGAAAACACGGCGTTTGATTGTTTGGTGTGTATTTTATGCTTTACGTTCATGGTATAGTAAGTTCTATATATATTGTCTTATTTACACCAAGAAGCTTTTGTCTATAGAGCAGTGGTTCTTAACCTGATCAAATCCCAGAGGTTCGGCGAGTCAGTCTCATGGGTTCGGTGAAAGTCAAGACATACACCCGACTCATATGATTCACAATCGGATTTTGATAGAACTAATAAGAAAGGTTCGATGAAAGAGCATATAAAACTGATGGTGTTCGGTACCTCCAAAAAGTTAAGAACCGTTGCTATAGCGTTCATAATAATTGTGTTATGTTATAGTTTAAGAAACTAAAGTCTATACTTTAAGTATACAGCTAACTTAGAGGGGGACAGTATTAATAGTTATATCAATTACTTTCAAGAATCATTTTAAATTAAAAAGAATACAAACGTTTAATTAAAATGGTACTTAAAAGTACCGTCATTAGTTAAAGGGATATGTCATACTTATTTTAAGAAACCGTAGTCTATACATGTAAGTAAACGCTTAATTAAAATGGTACTTAAAAGTACCGTCAGTAGTTAAAGGGATATTTCATACCTATTTTAAGAAACCGAAGTCTATACATGTAAGTAAACGCTTAATTAAAACGGTACTTAAAAGTACCGTCAGTTGTTAAAAGGATATTTCATACTTATTTTAAGAAACCGAAGTTTATACGAGAAAGTAAAAAAAAATTATACAAACGCTTAATTAACATGGTAGTTAAAAGTACCGTCAGTAGTTAAAGTGATATGTCATACTTATTTTAAGAAACCGACGTCTATACATGTAAGTAAACGCTTAATTAAAATGGTACTTAAAAGTACCGTCAGTAGTTAAAGTGATATGTCATACTTATTTTAAGAAGCCGAAGTCTATACATGTAAGTAAAAGCTTAATTAAAATGGTACTTAAAAGTACCGTCAGTTGTTAACAGGATATTTCATACCTATTTTAAGAAACCGAACTCTATACATGCAAAATAAAATAAATAAATTATTTATTTATTTATCCAACAGGAAGAGGCGGACCTGACCTCTGACCTGACCTCTGACATATGGATGGGACCGCCCGACTGGTGGGAGGAGTACGAGGCCCGCAAAGAGAGCGGCACCTCCACGGCCAGCGAGGTCAGCTCCGTCATCGAAGTGACCACCATGTACCTCGGCAGCAAGAAGGAGGCCGTGACCACCACCCTCATACCCGCCAGCACGGCACCGCCGGCATCACCATCGGCCACCGGCGACCACTACCTGACTGTGGACAAGTCGCTGCCCCGTCGCCAGTCCAGCCCGAGCCTCAGCACGAAGGAGGGGGCCGAGGAGGAGGGCGACGTGGTCGACGAGTTGGCCAGGACCACGGAGGTCAGGGTCACCTTGCATAAATCGTCCAGCTGTAAAAGTGCCGATCTGGAATTCTCTAGACTGTCCGATTTTTCGCCGAGCGAGGGGAGGCAATCTAAGAAACTTCACAAAACGGCTTGGGGCCGGGTTAAGGATATCATACACACACGTAAGGACAGCATCAGGAAGAGGCCGAAAAGGTCTGGCATCGAGAGCGAGGAGCCCAGCGAGTTCGACCTGGAGGCGCTGATGGAGGAGCGCTGGCACTCGCAGGCGTTTGGTGAAGGGCTGGTGGGGCGCTCCACCCCCAAGACCTCGCCCATCGTCGCCAGGCAGCAGAGCACGAAATGTGACTCGCCCCCCGGGGCCGTTCCCAAGACGAGTTTTTCCCGGGGGCGTCAGGCAAGCACGGGGCACGGGGCTGTAGATGTGGCCGCATTGTTAGGTGAGTTGTTGGCGTGTGTGGCACCTGACAGGTGAGATGTCACCTGACACGTGGGCTGTTACTTGACAGGTATACAGCTAACACTGACACACGAGTCACTGTCATTTTTATATGTCCACTGACCGTTAAATTACTGTCAGTTTAGTTAGCAGACAGTCACCTGACATGTAGACTCAGTCACCTGACAGGTAGACAGTCACCTGACAGGTAGACTCAGTCACCTGACATGCAGACAGTCACCTGACAGGTAGACAGTCACCTGACATGCAGACAGTCACCTGACAGGTAGACAGTCACCTGACAGGTAGACAGTCACCTGACAGGTAGACAGTCACCTTACAGGTAGACAGTCACCTGACAGGTAGACAGTCACCTGACAGGTAGACAGTCACCTGACAGGTAGACAGTCACCTGACAGGTAGACAGTCACCTGACAGGTAGACAGTCACCTGACATGTAGACAGTCACCTGACAGACAGACAGTCACCTGACAGGTAGACAGTCACCTGACAGGTAGACAGTCACCTGACAGACAGACAGTCACCTGACAGGTAGACAGTCACCTGACATGTAGACAGTCACCTGACAGACAGACAGTCACCTGACAGGTAGACAGTCACCTGACAGGTAGACAGTCACCTGACAGGTAGACAGTCACCTGACAGGTAGACAGTCACCTGACAGGTAGACAGTCACCTGACAGACAGTCACCTGACAGGTAGACAGTCACCTGACAGGTAGACAGTCACCTGACATGTAGACAGTCACCTGACAGACAGACAGTCACCTGACAGGTAGACAGTCACCTGACAGACAGACAGTCACCTGACAGGTAGACAGTCACCTGACATGTAGACAGTCACCTGACAGACAGACAGTCACCTGACAGGTAGACAGTCACCTGACAGGTAGACAGTCACCTGACATGTAGACAGTCACCTGACAGACAGACAGTCACCTGACAGGTAGACAGTCACCTGACAGGTAGACAGTCATCTGACAGACAGACAGTCACCTGACAGGTAGACAGTCACCTGACATGTAGACAGTCATCTGACAGGTAGACAGTCACCTGACAGGTAGACAGTCACCTGACAGGTAGACAGTCACCTGACAGACAGTCACCTGACAGGTAGACAGTCACCTGACAGGTAGACAGTCATCTGACAGGTAGACAGTCACCTGACAGGCAGACAGTCACCTGACAGGTAGACTCAGTCACCTGACATGCAGACAGTCACCTGACAGGTAGACAGTCATCTGACAGGTAGACAGTCACCTGACAGACAGTCACCTGACAGGTAGACAGTCATCTGACAGGTAGACAGTCACCTGACAGACAGTCACCTGACAGACAGTCACCTGACAGGTAGACAGTCACCTGACAGACAGTCACCTGACAGGTAGACAGTCACCTGACAGACAGTCACCTGACAGGTAGACAGTCATCTGACAGGTAGACAGTCACCTGACAGACAGTCACCTGACAGACAGTCACCTGACAGGTAGACAGTCACCTGACAGGCAGACAGTCACCTGACAGGTAGACAGTCACCTGACAGACAGTCACCTGACAGACAGACAGTCACCTGACAGGTAGACAGTCACCTGACATGTAGACAGTCACCTGACAGGTAGACAGTCAACTGACAGGTAGACAGTCACCTGACAGGTAGACAGTCACCTGACAGGTAGACAGTCACCTGACAGACAGTCACCTGACAGGTAGACAGTCACCTGACAGGCAGACAGTCTCCTGACAGGTAGACAGTCACCTGACAGACAGTCACCTGACAGACAGACAGTCACCTGACAGGTAGACAGTCACCTGACATGTAGACAGTCACCTGACAGGTAGACAGTCAACTGACAGGTAGACAGTCACCTGACAGGTAGACAGTCACCTGACAGGTAGACAGTCACCTGACAGACAGTCACCTGACAGGTAGACAGTCACCTGACAGGCAGACAGTCACCTGACAGGTAGACAGTCACCTGACATGCAGACAGTCACCTGACAGGTAGACAGTCATCTGACAGGTAGACAGTCACCTGACAGACAGTCACCTGACAGGTAGACTCAGTCACTGGCCGCTGCACGTATCAAGCTGTCACTGACCCCTGCATTACTGGCAATTTATTTCGCATCTAATTGACTCTCAGTGACATTTAATCAACAGACTATACATTTTATATTTAATTCTCAAATTATGAGAGAAATATTTTATTTTCGAACTATTATTTTAGTCTGTTATTTTCTGTTTAATTACATTTTTCTTTTTACAGCCGGGAGCGTTAGCGAAGAATTTAGCAAGAAAATGCAGCAATGGGAGACAATGCGAAGTCAAAAATCACCGTTTAGAGGTGAGTAGTTGCTTCCCTTGAGTGAGAATCTAACGTAGAGACACAGTTGCATCCCCTTTAAATACCGCCGGTAACTGAGCAACACAGGGCACAATCTAAGACCGTCTAGGTATATATATACATATATATATATATATATATATATATATATATATATATATATATATATATATATATATATATATATATATACGGTAAAAAAAGTTAACCGTGTAACCAATATGTCTATTATGAAAACAACTATGGTTCACAAACATGTCTTGAGCTAGTTAACCTTAAGACACAAACTATTTGTTGAAGTTTAAAAAATCATACAAAAAAAAGGTTGATAGCTACATTCGAAAGAAAGTTTAAAAGAAAAGAAGAAGACAATGAAATTGTTTGTATTTGCGTCACAAAAGAGGAAATATCCCAACAGCCACCATACTTACTCAAACTAAACCTGTTTTGTGTTGAAAGCGCTCACAACACTATACGTGGGTAGACGAAGTAGAGCAGATCTGTATTAATGCTTGTAAGTACACGAAGAAATGGTTATATGGCCAACTCAGGCTACTTTTAAACTGAACCGGGAACCAATTTGAGCTGAGTGGACTCGATGATGTGTCAAACACCTTTAAGCTGATCAGCTAGTAGTTATGTTGTCATGTTGTGGTCAACTTATAGTTATGTAGTCGTGTTGTGGTCAACTTGTAGTTATGTTGTCATGTTGTGGTCAACTTATAGTTATGTAGTCGTGTTGTGGTCAACTTGTAGTTATGTTGTCGTGTTGTTGTCAACTTGTAGTTATGTAGTCGTGTTGTGGTCAAGTTGTATTTGTGATATCGTGTTGCGGTCAACTTTTAGCTATGTTATCGTGTTATCATTTTCATGTAGTTTGGTTGAGACCATTTCTCGGCTGTCACTTTTAGAGGGTTATTTTTATCACGCTCTTAAAAAAAAGTTGATATTTTCTCTTTAAATGTTTTCTTTCAACGTCAGCAGCATCAAACTTTCCTGGGTACACATATTAAAGTCCCTTGTTAAAACGTAAAGAATATATGCATTTGTCATGATTATATATATATATATATATATATATATATATATATATATATATATATATATATATATATATATATATATATATATATATATATATATATATATATATATATATATATATATATATATATATATATATATATATATATATATATATATATATATATATATGTCATGTGTTACAATTATTCGATTCGAGAAAAAAAATTCTCAGAATATTACTTACTAAAGAGAATTAAGAAAACAAAGAAATAATTGATTTAAATTTAAAATGTTACAGTATAGCGAGAATACAAGTTAGATTTCCTGAAATAGATCAATAGTCATAGCATTAAGTGTTGTAATAGGCCAAAGGTCGTTTACCACTCATACTGTTTACCACTACGTATGAAAGGTCAAGGCTATTCCTAGAGCGCCAACGTGTGTACGAATACGTCTGGAGAGCACATGTGCTCTTCAGCGCGGCGCAGCACAAAACGAAAACAGCCGAACGAGCATAGAGGTGCACGTGCTTGTACGCAGAGCCGGCAAATTAGATTCTTTGATGACAACAATTTTTATTTTTACCTTGCCGTAATGAAACCTGCTCACAAGTACATAATAAAATACCGGGGTAGCAGGCAGACGGGAGAGTGGGTGGCGGTGAAGGCGAGCTGTATCCACCCCACTCACCTGCACTGCCTCGCTCAGTCTGTTGGCAAACGCCGAGGGAATCGTCAGCACCGCGCGTCCATTTACCGCGGTGTCGAGAAAAGGTTACTTCCCTTTGTGACAGAAGGGGTTGGGGGGTTGAAAAATTTTTTTTAGTTTTTTAAATATTTTTTTTTATGGAATTTTTCGGTAACTATATGGAAGAGCACTAATCCTCTTCCTTAACTTCTGGCTCTTGCGGTGTAACGCGGGGAAACGCGTTCGGTGAATCTCGGAGAATTCGATACAATGGAATTTGATGCCAAGTGAATTCTTTCGTGTGTGAGGCTTACATTAGACCTGTAAGAAGGAAAAAAATATAGGAGCTTACATGTTCTTTTTTATAATACGGGTTAATTAAACTCTCTTCTACACTGGATATTGTTCTGGATATTTCTACCATGGCTTCAAGGAAAAAACAATTTTTTTGTTGTTTGCGTTGTGGAGGTATGTTGGTTTTTTTTGTTTGTTTTTTTTTCATTTGAAGACATTGACACTAAACCTTGACTAGGCATCCTAACGTTGACTTGATACTAAACAATAACTTGCCATAAAACAACAACTTGCCATTAAACATTGACACTAAAAGTTGACACCAAATTTTTACTTGACACCAAATGTTGACTTAAACTTTGACATTTACATTTGACGAAAACAACCAATTGGCAATAATGTGACAATAATAGGACAATAATGGGACAATAATGGGACAATAATGGGACAATAATAGGACAATAATGGGACAATAATGGGACAATAATGGGACAATAATAGGACAATAATGTGACAATAATAGGAAAATAATGGGACAATAATGGGACAATAATGGGACAATAATGGGACAATAATAGGACAATAATGGGACAATAATGGGACAATAATGGGACAATAATGAGACAATAATGAGACAATAATGGGACAATAATAGGACAATAATGGGACAATAATGAGACAATAATGTGACAATAATTGGAAAATAATGGGACAATAATGGGACAATAAGATACACTTTATCAGCTGATCGACTTCAAGTACCAAACCTATCTACCTCAAATCTCTCTGATTATTTTGTCAGACAGTCGTGTCGTATATTTCTCAATATTTGACCTACTTTACAAAACATGGGATGAGTCAAAGGTTTCGGAACTTTGACCTAGTTTAAATTATCGGCGTCCCCAACACAAGTGACCAATGTCCAACTTAACACGCACTCTGGTCACCTGAACATGTTTCTGTTCAGACTGTAGGTAGCAGTGTTTATTGTAACTTGAGTGTATGATGTGTACTGCCAACTATAGCAACCGTCATTCATTGACAGTGTCCACCTGGTGACTTTGTGCACTAGATGACATTTGTGACGATGTGTGACAGTATCCACTATTTTACGCATCAGTGACGATTCGTGACAATGTCATGTATGTAACACCTGTGACGATGTATGAGAAAGTTTCCTCTATGTAACACAACTGTGACGATTTGTGACAAAGTTTCCCCTATGTGACACAACTGTGACGATATGTGACAACGTTTCACCTATGAGACACAACAGTGACGATGTATGACACATTTTCCTCTATGTGAGGAATTCAACACATATGTGACGATATGCCACTGGGGGAAGAGGGGGAGGGAAGGGCTGGTAAAGAAATGTTACGTCACACCACACTGTGACATTAATTCGTCGCGTCACACATCTCGTGCGCTGACGCAATTAAAAAATTCAGATTACGTAACGGTTGAAAGAAAGGGGTCAAACACTTCTGTGTCACATGACGTCACGTGCAGATGACCCATTACATACGCTCATATGACAACCCCCAAACCCCCTCCCCCTCTCTCTCTCTTTTTTCTTTTTCCTATAAAATTCCTGTGTAGCGGAACATGCCAAACCACCGGTATAACCTTACCTAATTATTTTCTGGAAGCTTCCCCAGACAGGTGCGATAATTCCCTCACCCCGGCCCGGCCTGTACCGGCACCGTCTGGACCACTTGCCTCCCTTGAAATAATTACTCTTTGACGGCTTGCCAGAATCGGCAAGTTGGAGCCGACTGGTTGCTTTTTTCTTTTCTTGTCTCCCGCCTGTTTTGATGAAGATTGACATTCGTTTTCTAACTGATGTCACGTGACAAATGTCAACTGTCTGGGTATTGTCTGAGTTGATGCAGGTCATGGGGGGGGGGGTCAAAGTGGGGGGGGGGGGGGGTCAGCTGATCACTACCCTTCATTGAAAAAGATTTGAGGAAAAAAAAACAAATTACGGAGGCCTAGCTCTCTATTGTATTCTCTCTAATGAGTATATATACATACATACATACATATATATATATATATATATATATATATATATATATATATATATATATATATATATATATATATATATATATATAGTTGAGTTTGTAACTTTATGTGGCCAGATTTCGAAGTGCTTAACTTATAAAGGTGGTTTGGTCTGATACATCTAGAGTGCCAGATATTTAAAAATCTTTGTTGATAGATATAGACTGACCAGATTTTTAAAAAAGAATTGTTAAATGATGCACACTTAAGCAATTTTTTAAGTCTGAGGTAACATCTGTGCCGGTTTGTCTGTCAGTATTAAGACGCCACAACTGCGATAAATAAATTAAACTATGTGAAAAAAAACATTCAGCTATTTGGTTTTTGTTTTCATTAAATTTGATTGCTGGTTCCAAAATGCCGAAAAAAATGTGTTTACAATTTAATGTGCCTACGGTTCTGCCAAGCTTAAAATAAATTCTTAGACAATAATTTAAAGAAATATTCATCATGGAAAATATTTTGATTAGGAATTTTTGCTTTTATAAAAGCCTGCAGACAACTTAATTCTGGATTATATACTCAGTTAAAGCAAGCCAAAAACCACATCACTCAATCATTTACTCACTTATACACACGCATACATTAACTACACACATACTATAGTTTAAAAGTAGGGGGGAGGGAATAGAAAAATTCATCAATTACTCCATTATGTAGAATGCCAAATTTTTCCACAGATGAATAAGTAAAAATACAATGTGTAAAAATAAAAAAAAATAAAACTAGGTAAATTGCGAAGAGTTTTTAACTTGAACAATTTTCTCTTTCATTTAGTTTTTCTTTTTTTTAACAACCAGCTTTAAGTGCAGCGAAAGGACATCCAGACTGAAACTTTTGGCGCGTATCTCAATCTAACATGTATATCGTGATCGCGGGCTAATGAACGGCAGACGGCAGATAACCGTCTGCCAAAAGTTTGAATTTTATTTTCACCAAAACGTTGTATTTTTTTTATTTTAATTTTATAACCCGTTTACTTTCTTTACCCAGCCTCCCCCCCCCCCACACACACACAAATACACCCACACACATAATATATATATATATATATATATATATATATATATATATATATATATATATATATATATATATATATATATATATATATATATATATATAATTCTCTTCTGGGAGCCGCTAGAAAACAAGCTGTAAACGCGATCCCTACCTCCCCACCCCTACATGATCTTAGTGAGCTGTGTTCACTCTAAATGTTTACAAGCAGAGCCAACGATTTTAAACGTAAGGGGGGAAGGAGGGGGGGGGGGTTATGGTCCTTAACGAGCTACTTATAGTATTTTTTTAAAGAAATATTTTCAGTGGCAGCGTTGGTACTGTCGAATTCACAAATTATGAATTACTGAGAAAAGTAGAAAATAAAACAACTAAATAGCGGCGTATGTTATGCCGCGGGCCGGCTCGTATATATATATTTCGCCCAGCAATTTTTATCTAAAACCGGCGAGATGAACAGCGGCAGTAATCAATGGCGTTGAAGTTTGTTGTTTTTTTTTAAATATGTGTAGAAACTATTTTTTTTTTCAACTAATTATGGAACTATTTTTTTTATAACAATAATTATCCGCGAATGGAATTTTGACTGAGGCACGTCACGACGCTCGTTTCACTTGCCTCGTATAAAGATATTTCTGTTTCCACCCGGATTTTTCAATTAACCCGCTCATGCACGATCTTTTCATGTGCGCTTCTGATCTTTCGAGGCTGGTGCCTCGTTCTGAGAGAAGGCTTAAATAGGGAGTTGTCGTTAATGGGATCAAGCACAGTGCACGGGCACTGAAGTTTGGCACATTTGTGCCGAGGTTGCTCGTCTTGGACGATACTGCTTATAAACGGGCCTAATGCAGCATTGTAGTTTGGCACATTTGTGCCTAGAACATTGGTCTTTGATGGTACCTGCTTATAAATGGGCTTTAACCAGCATTGTAGTTTTGCAGATTTGTGCCTAGAATATTTTTGTATGATGTTACCTGTTTATAAACGAGCCTTAGCCAGCATTGAATTTCGGCACATTTGTACCGAGAATATTAGTTGTTGATGGATCTGCTTAATAAACGGTCCTTAGCCACCATTGTTGTTTGGCACATTTGTGCCTAGAATATTAGTTGTTGATGGATCTGCTTAATAAAAGGTCATTAGCCAGCACTGAAAGTAAAGTAAAACGTTTCCTTTTTCGAAAATGATGGTAACTTGGGGCAAGTGAAGTAGAGTTCACCTGTTTCTGTGCCGTCGGCTTATGAAGGGATGATGTGGTCAGCACTATGCCTAGCCATAAAATACTGCTTATAAATGGGCCTTAGCCAGTACTGAGATTTTTCGTCTGGTAAGGGACAAGCTTATACATAGCGCTAAACAGCACTAACGTTTAGCACTTGGATGGTACCTGCTTAGGTGCGGGACTAAAAAAAAGGATATATCACATATGGATGCAGGCAATGGCACTACAGATGTGCTGATATTGTCTTGTTTGTATCCACAGCATCCATGGATGAGAGCGACATTGACTGTCTTGTTTGTATCCACAGCATCCATGGATGAGAGCGACATTGGCTGTCTTGTTTGTATCCACAGCATCCATGGATGAGAGCGACATTGACTGTCTTGTTTGTATCCACAGCATCCATGGATGAGAGCGACATTGACTGTCTTGTTTGTATCCACAGCATCCATGGATGAGAGCGACATTGACTGTCTTGTATGTATCCACAGCATCCATGGATGAGAGCGACATTGACTGTATTGTTTGTATCCACAGCATCCATGGATGAGAGCGACATTGACTGTCTTGTTTGTATCCACAGCATCCATGGATGAGAGCGACATTGACTGTCTTGTTTGTATCCACAGCATCCATGGATGAGAGCGACATTGACTGTCTTGTTTGTATCCACAGCATCCATGGATGAGAGCGACATTGACTGTCTTGTTTGTATCCACAGCATCCATGGATGAGAGCGACATTGGCAGCATGGAAGTGTCCGGGACGTCGCAGGATTTTAACATCAGGACCGTCAACCTGGGGGATCTGAAAGGGAAAAGTGAGTTCGTGTGGTTGTGTGGTTGGTGTGTGGTTGGTGTGTGGTTGTGTGGTTGGTGTGTGGTTGGTGTGTGGTTGGTGTATAGTTGGAGTGTGGTTGGTGTGTGGTTAGTGTGTGGTTGTGTGGTTGGTTTGTGGTTGTGTGGTTGGTGTGTTGTTGTGTGGTTGTGTGGTTGGTGTGTGGTTGGTGCGTGGTAGGGGTGTGGTTGTGTGGTTGGTGTGTGGTTGTGTGGTTGTGTGGTTGGTGTGTGGTTGGTGTGTGGTTGGTGTGGTTGGTGTGTGGTTGTGTGGTTGGTATGTGGTTGTGTGGTTGGTGTGTGGTGGGTGTGTGGTTGGTGCGCTGGTGTGTGGTTGGTGTGTGGTTGGTGTGCAGTTGGTGTGTGGTTGGTGCGCTGGTGTGTGGTTGGTGTGTGGTTGGTGTGTGGTTGGTGTGTGGTTGGTGTGTGGTTGGTGTGTGGTTGGTGTGTGGTTGGTGAGTGGTTGGTGAGTGGTTGGTGCGCTGGTGTATGGTTGGTGTGTGGTTGGTGAGTGGTTGGTGCGATGGTGTGTGGTTGGTGTGTGGTTGGTGTGTGGTTGGTGTGTGGTTGGTGTGTGGTTGGTGTGTGGTTGATGTGTGGTTGGTGTGTGGTTGGTGTGTGGTTGGTGAGTGGTTGGTGTGTGGTTGGTGTGTGGTTGATCTGTGGTTGGTGTGTGGTTGATGTGTAGTTTGTATGTAGTTGGTGTCTGGTTGGTGTGTGGTTGGTATGTGGTTGTATGGCTTATGTATATCGTTGGTTGTATGGCTTGTCAACCGCTGTTGTTAAGGGGCTTAAATGTGCGTGTGGTTTTGTGGCTGGTGTGTGTTATGTGGTGTGGTTAGGGAGCGTGTATAAGTGTTTAGCTGTGTGGTTTGTATGTGGCTACGTGTGTGGCTGCTGATAGTATGTTTTTGTCTGCACGTGTTGCTCAAGATTTCGTGATGTGTCTGATTTTGTGTGTGGTTTATGTGAGTGTGGTTGTCGCTGTGTGGCAATAGTGTGTAGCAAGTGGGTGTGGCGATTGTTGCGATTGTAGTAAGGCTTGTGTGTGATTTAGGGCCACAAGTTCCGTATACACATTTTTGCTTATGTATGTTGTTCATGTGCCTTGTTCAAATACTTATACATAATTGATGTACATATATCTAGTACAAAAACCGTGTACATGTTTGCTGTACATATACCTGGTACAAATACTGTGTACATGTTTGCTGTACATGTGCCTGGTACAAATACCGTGTACATGTATGCTGGACATGTGCCGAGTACACATCCCGTGTACATGTTTGCTGTACATATACCTGGTACAAATACCGTGTACATGTATGCTGTACATGCCTCTTGCCTACACAAGAGGTTGCTTACACCTCGCGAGCGATGGTACAGTTGATTAGTGTCTCAGCGCCACCTACCAAACCATGAATCACTTGAGTTGTCTAAACAGTTTATTTAACACCCCCACACACACCCCACACACGCACACCCACACACTCCTGGCAAATACTTTGTGCGAGAGGCTGAGCGTTACATCATGCGGTGGTTTTGTTAACGTTGTGCACATGTTGTGGTGGGTCCGATTTCCTTGCCTTACCCGGCTTGCCAATAACGGCACTGAAGTTTTACATCAAGTGTGTTTCATAACACGAGTCATAATTAGTCGCCATCATAACACGAGTCACAATTAGTCGCCATCATAACACGAGTCACAATAAGTCACCTTCATAACACGAGTCATAATTAGTCGCCATCATAACACTAGTCTTAATTAGTCACCATCATAACACGAGTCACAATTAGTCACCATCATAACACTAGTCTTAATTAGTCACCATCACAACACGAGTCACAATTAGTCACCATCATAACACCAGTCAAAATTTAACAATCATCATAATATGCGTAAACAATAAAGCCACCAATCCCTTAACATAACCATACAAATGTCTGTTGCATACATTCTAGGCAACCCAAACAATAGTTCACGGTGTCCAATAAAAAAAAAACCTGAACATAAACCCCGGACATAAACCCCCTGGACCAAAACCCTCACGACATAAACCCCCCAGACAAAAAACCCTCACGACATAAACCCCCTGGACAAACCAAAGATGATGAGAACCAAAATTAATAATTAAAAACAAAACAAACATTGGGGAAAAAAACAGCGCTTTATTATAATTTTTTTAGCGCAATTTCCATTCTGGAGAATTGCGTTTATTAACTCGTCATTTCTGGGAATGGATGGATGGATGGATGAATGTGTGTCCGGGCTTTAAGTCGTATCTCCTCCTCAACGAAGCAATATCGATGAATAGTTCCAAAAGCAATTATGTTAAGCAAGTTACGAGAATGAGCATAGGCCATAAAAATTCCGGGTTTCTTTCATGTATTTCCCGGAAAAGCCAAAAAACCTCGAAAAAATTCAGTTTTTGGCCCATATCTCGGCAACCAGACCACTTAGCGACTTGAAACATGTACCAATCGATTCCTGTCATAATTTAAAACAATATTGCCGAAGAAAGTTTTCAAAAATATTCTCTCGTTCGGTCACAAATTTTAAAATTACATTAACACCTACAAACCGATTGTTCTTCTAGCTTGAACGCACCCCAACATTATACGTCAGAGCTATTTTTAGATAACATAAGGAAATTGCGCACAAATGTCACTAGACTTTTTTAATTAACTTGTTTAAAAGAAATTGTAAGCGATGCCTAGCAAATACTCTATTTATGCGGGCTCATTAAAATTTTTAACAACAGCTGAAATTCGAACGCTGCTATTAATATTTGTTTTTCTGTTTTGGTAAACAGTGACCTGAATTAATCTGTGCATAATAAACCTCTTGGAGCGATATATTGTTTCTTTTTAATAAAGTCAAGGAATTTCCAAATTTTTGGGTGGCAACATCCCATATTCGACTGGAAACATCTGTGCCAGCCTTCAACTGAGTTGTTTGTTTTTGGCATATGGTCTTCTGCACGTGTGCGCATGTTTCACATATCAAGTGGAAACATTGGATGTCTCCGACCTCGACGTTGTGGTCTGCCAATATAGTAGTCCTCAAAATAATCTCCAATCGGCAATGCTTCTTATGAGAAAATTTCCGATAATTTATCCAAGGCATAATTAATGTGTTCAGTGGGCACAAAAGTTTCTTCTTCTTTTCTTCTTCTTCGTTCTTAATTATTAGTGATGAAGGGGATCGAGATTTGTTCGAATATATCAACCATGAGCTTTTTGCCGACTCGACCACGCCTCCAACACAATTAAGCGTTACGTGTCAACTGGTTATGCGCCATTGAGGCCATTGATTCCGATTTCAGCCTGCTTTTCTGTTTGGATTTGCAGCAGTTGTTTAATTTTGGAGTTGTCTCTCATAGAAGAGTGGCTGTCCCCAGCTAACGAGCCTCATCTGCCCGAGGGTTCGAACTCGAGACTTTCGGTTTAGCAACCATGAGCTTTACCGACTCGACCACGCCGACCCCGGCACAAAAGCGAACACAGGTAGTATTCTGAGCTTGAGAGCAAATTCACTCTCAACGTGGTAATGTTGTTGAAGGCCAGAGTCCTGTATTTTTCTGAATGTGTTTTGGCTAAGTTGGAAAAAGCATCCTTTTACCTGACAGTCTGGAAATACCCTTTCAACACTTTTTATCACAGCCATTTCAAAGTCAATCGTGATAGAAATTGGTTGAAGGTTTGTGTTTAAGAACGTTAGTTGCTCTAAGAGTGCTGTGTATGTTTCCTGTGTTTTGTTTTGAAGTAAGGCATAAACACATGGAACAGTCCGTCCATTGACCAATGCATGGACTGTGTACAGTTGTGAAACAATGCAGGAGCTGTTTTGAATGTACCATCCATAAACCAGTGCTGATTAACCAATAACCTAAGGTTGTCCTTGGTTCCAAACAAAAACATCCTACCTTTTGACTCGGCACCAGAATCGAAAAGAAGAAATTGTTGTCCATCTTGTGTCATTGTATATTGTTCAGGAATGATTATATCATCAACATTCCTTGCATCAGACAGTGGGTGTTTTAGCGTTTGACGTTGACGCCTGATGTTACGACGTATGTGTGGAACCGATGGCAGCTTGGCCTTGGCATCTTCAGTTATCGTAGTAATGGGCTGAGTGATGATCTGCTGGGGTGTTGCTTCCGTTTCTTCTGCCAGTTGTTTCATCTGCTGCACTACTTTACACACTTCTAGTTGAGAAAGATCTGGTCCATGCGAATGTTCATTACAACGTCCAACAAGCTGTTCACCATGAATCTTTATCTTTATATTAGCTTTGCATTTCGCCTTGTTGCGTCTTTTGGAACACTCGAATGACACAACGCCTTTCGCCAAAATCTTTTTGCTTGACGTAAAAGTAACCTTCAAAAATCACCTTTAAATTGTCCTCATTAGATTGAACGAACTCTATTCCAGATATTATGATAAGGTTTGTGGAGAAATAAATTTGATGTTATATTTATACCATTCTTCTGTGTGCTAAGGTGGATATGAACAAAGCGTCCGCCGGTGAATCTCTCACATCTTTTGCATTGTTCAAAATGTGTTGCTCACACATTTAGATGACTTGTATTTAAGGCGTTGTTGGTACCTGATCTTTGATCAGACACTACTAAGATCACTACTTGTCTTTCGAATAGCATGCTTTTAGGAACAAACGCTCTTGTTAATCGTTAAAAATTACATTAAATTAAATTAATTTTTTTTGTCTCATCATCGTTATTATTTCCTTATATAAACCTCAGTGGGGGGGGGGGGGGTAGTTATTATCTATAGACTTATGTTGTGTGGGTTTTGTGTTGGGAGGTTGATGTCCAGGGGGGTTTTGACCTGGAGCCATAGTTCACTCATCTTTTAAAAACAAACTCAAGACAATTTAGTGGCCATTAGAAAACCAAAGCAGTTTCACTGACGTTTAGAAAAAACAAACAGGCTCAGTGACCTTTAGAAAACTCAAACAAGGTCACCGACCTTCACAACTCAAACTAGGTCACCGACCTTCGATACTCAACCGCCAGTTGCCTGACCTTAACCTTGAACCTTGCAGTCCCAGACTCGGAGGGTCCTACCCCAGAAGAATCCAACACGTCGATGGAAGTTCTCGGGGCCCACAGCATCCACATGGAGGACATTCAACGAGGGATGACGGACAGCTTCTCGAGAAAGATGGAGGTAAATCTTAGGAGTGGGTTGGTTGGGTTACGGGTGGGGGGGGGGGGGGCTAATATAAGAAGTACATAGTAAATATGGAAAGGTGAAAAGGTACCAGATAGTTTTCTACCTGATAGTTCTCTACCTAATAGTTCTCTACCTCATAGTTTTCTACCTGATAGTTTTCTACCTGATAGTTCTCTACCTAATAGTTCTCTACCTGATAGTTTTCTACCTGATAGTTCTCTACCTAATAGTTCTCTACCTCATAGTTCTTTAACAAATTGCTCTGTACCTGAAAGTTCTATGCCTGACAATTCTATAGTTCTACACCTAATAGTTCTATACCTGACAGTTCTTTATCTGATAGCTCTATACCTGATAGATATCTACCTGATATTTCTTTACCTGATAGTTCTGTAACGTTTACCGCAGGAGTGGGAGCGACTTAAATACAAAAGTATAAGCGGAGCCCGGGATGTGAGCCCTGAGATAGAGAGAAAGATGAGCAAGAGCCGGAAAGAGGAGAGACAGAAAAGTAAACGGTCCAGGGAGGAGAAAGAGAGGGAGAAATGGGAACGGCAACGAGAAAGGGACATGCAGAAAGTAAGTTTTGAGATATGCAGAAAGTAAGTTTTAATGTATAGAATTAGAACAAAAATAGAATAAATCAGGCAGCAGTGTTTCCACTAGGCATCTCTTTGAACGAAATCGAATTTATATAGAAAATATACTTTTAACAGTGTCCGCCACCCCGGAAATTTTAGTCCGCCCCCCCCCCCCTGAAAATTTTCAAGTGCCCCCCCCCCCCCCCCTGAAAAAAAAGTCTGGAAGAAACACTGCCTGGAATTAGAAACAAAAGCCAGTCTACCGATTTTCTCTTAGGCGACAGGCGCTTTGGAGTACTAGCCTCCAAGGCAGATAAATCTTGCTTTACCATGTGGATAGCGCTTCTTACAAGATAAATGCGTTTTTTTTTGGGACGATCATGAGATACCCAGCCCTTATGAGTACCCAAAAATACCTTGGGGACAGCACATACGGCTGGGCCTTTGAGGCGGTAGAAAAAGCCTACTCACCCTAGCCCATTTCTTAAACAAACATGGGTTTATTTGTTTTCAGTTAAAAATTTAAAACTATTATTAGCGTGATGCGCGGCTACCACCGTAATTTCTGTTGCCATAGTAATCATGGCGGGCGTCTTTAACCTCAAGTCCTGGCTTCCGGTTGACCTCTGGGTTATAATGCTTATCAAATTAGTTATTCGAAAGCTGACTTGAGCGGTAGACATTGATTGCTTTCCCTGAAGTCTCGAGTTTGAGTCTGTTTACTACGCTACTTTTTCAAAACACGTATAAACGTTGCTTCTTATCCCATACAGTCGAGTGGTCGAGTCGGTAAAGCTCATGGTTGCTAAACCGAAAAGTCTCGAGTTTGAACCCTCGGGCAGATGAGGCTCGCTAGCTGGGGACAGCCACTCTTCTAGGAGAGACAACTCCAAAATCAAACAACTGCTGCCTTGTAGTTTGTTCTTGGTTGGACAAAGGCTATGGAAGCAAATCCAAAAAGAATCCAAAAAGAAAAGCAGGCTAAAATCGGAGTCAATGGCCTCAATGGCGCATAACCAGTTGACACGTAACGCTTAATTGTGTTGGAGGCGTGGTCGAGTCGGCAAAAAGCTCATGGTTGATAAATTCGAACAAAGTCTCGAGTTCAAACCCACTGGCAGATAAATCTCGATCCCCTTCAACACTAATAATTAAGAACGAAGAAGAAGAAGAAGATCCCATACAGCTCTTTTGGGTACCCAACACAAATCGGCGAAAGTAAATTCGTCTAGGCAATGTACATGTCTAACAATCCCTTTCACAAATAGGCTCATAACAATCTCCTTCAGCTTTCCAGAAGATAGAATTTGCAGCTAGAGTTTCTTCTAGTCATCTCTTCGGGGGATGCACACCGAAGGAAGTCTAACGCCGCCCCCCCCCCCCCCCCCCGCGAACACAATGGAATTTATTTAAGAAATATATACTTATACCAGTCCGTCCCCCCCCCCCCCCCCAGCCCCGGAAAATTTAGTCCACCACCC